CATTCACCTGAGAGCTTTCACTGCGTGTGTGTGTGTGTGTGTGTGTGTGTGTGTGTGTTGGCTGCAGTTACCGTGGAGATGTGCAGACTCGTAGAAAGTTTAATGAGCAGGAGTGAGTAAAGTCGCTGCGCTCCGACACAGGAAGTGTGTTTACATCATCCTGAAGGATTGTTTCAGAGCGTTACAGCAGGAAGTGATGACGACCTTCACTCTCACTACACTGTGACCAAACTCTGTGTTCTTTAGAGTGTTTATTAGAGAAGATATAAGAACAAAAATCATGTGGTAGATAAAGTGAGAGACGGGACAAGAGAAAAGTTTTGATGTGTTTGTGGCTGCAGCTGCTGTGACGATGCTTTGGTTGATTTCACAGGAAGTCTGACCGTCTTTAATCTCTGTGGCTTAATACTACTTCCTGTTTACTAACTGTCACTTATTTCTGTTTAATTCTACTGAAGCTTCACTGAGGACGGTGGTGTGATCTTACTATATAATGATGAAACTCTGTGTGTGTGTGTGTCTGTTCCATGTTTTTCTCCTCACTGACTTGGTCAATCCATGTGAAATTTGGCACAGTGGTAGAGGGTCATGGGAGGATGCCAATGAAGCAATATTACATCAATTGGCCAAAGGGGGGCGCTATAGCAACCCACTGAAATGTCAAACTTTGAATGGGCATATCTCATGCCCCGTATGTGGTAGAGACATGAAACTTTGCACAGAGATGCCTCTCCTCATGAGGAACACATTTGCCTCAAGAACCCATAACTTCCGCTTATATAGATTTTCCACCATTTTGAATTTTTTGAAAAACACTTCAAATGGATCTCTTCCTAGGAAGTTTGAGCGATCTGCATGAAACTGGGTGAACATAATCTAGGGACCAATATCTAAAGTTCCCTCTTGGCAAAAGTTGGAAAACTTACTAAAACTGAGCTTCTATAAGGCAATGAATATTGCGGAGGGCGTGGCTCATCACATAAAGGTGTAGAACATCTCAAGGGTTTCACCCATCACCACGCAACTTTGTAGGCATATGACCACACATAATCTGAGGGGACCCCTCCATTATTGACCCCATCAAACAAAATGGGGGCGCTAGAGAGCTCATTTCTTATCTAGGCCTAACCGCCATATGGATTTTTACTAAACTTGGTAGATATGTAGAACAGGACGCCTCAAGGTGACTGGAGAAATTTAACTCTAATTGGCAACTGGGTGGCGCTATAACAACAGAAAAATGCTTCAAAATGGCTAAAATGCGACCGATCGCTGTGGCTCCCCCTGTGGACCAATGTTGGTGTTTCTAATTTTTGGTATGACTAAGTCATGGTATGGTATGCTGTACATAATCACGGAAACTGTCAGTGTGTCATTCTGTCTGTCCCACGTTTTTCAAACACTCTGTCTGAATACATTGCTCTTCTTAATGGGTTCAGTTGACTATTTAATCTGCAGTTTCCTATGACCTGTATCCCAAACACACACCATGTGAAACCGTACGTGGGCAACTGTGCACTCAATGGGTATGGACTAGCATTTAAAATTCATAATCAGATGTTTGAACAGGCTGCAGAGTGCTGTCTGTAAGAAAACATTCATGTGGAGATCAGGTGACCTCACTGTTCCGCTGTAGGACGGCAGACAGGATTTTGCAGGACACATAGGAGAAATTACAGCTGCTGCAGAGCGGGTAGTCACAGGAATGAAGACGAGGAGGAAGACAGACGGGAAACACAGGAGACTTACTCCTTACTTACTCCCTCCTCTTCATCCCCTGTGGGATGAGTCTCAGTGAGCTCTTTCCGTTGCATTCAGCATGTTGCATCTCTTCCCTCGACAGGTTCATCTTTTCCAGCTCCAGAAGGTGGTTTTGGGCCTTCCAGGTTTTCTTTTGCCTGGTGGCGTCCATCTTAAGGTGACTCATGATACAGTTCCATTCTCAGCAGATGGCCAGGCCAAACATCTGTGTGTGTGATCTCCTTGGTGATGCTCCCGCTACCTGATTTTGTTTGGCCAGAAGATCCAGCATGTTCGTCTGAGGCGTCCACTGTGAAAGACCTCCACTCTCCTCACGTCTGTTCTGACCCCTCGACTCTCTGAACCGTACAGCAGAAATTTGCCGTTACACACGAGCATCTTGGTTCTGAGGCTGTGTTGTTCAGATCTCCAGATGGATCAGAGTTTGGAGAAGTTCAACCTGAGCCTTTCTCAGTCTTGCTTTGATGTCTTTTTGGGTTCGGATCATAACTAACTTACTGTAACTTACTGAACTGAACTAATCACATCTTAGAAATCGTGTGTCACAACATGTTTATTCTGCATCACCCGAGGCTCAAACTCACATCTGGGGACGCCAAAGGCACGTCATGATTAGGGGTGGAAACCACAGGAATTTCCTTTTTTGTTTCTGAAGTGTTGAGGTATCTAAGCTGAATCTGTCATCAGGTGGAGGGGGTTAAAAAAAAAACTGGTTGTGTTTTAGCATCTTACTGCTGTTTTATACAAGTGGCTTTTGAGGCTCCAAACGTGGGTGTTTTTTTTAGCGACCCATTGCTGTTTACAAATGACTTTCTAACAACGTGTTTTACAAACAGCTTTTTAGGCCCCAAGTGTTGGTGTTTTTAATTTTATTTTTTAAATTAAATTTATTTATAAGGACAACACGCATTAATCAGCATTTCTGTTTCTGTTAGCCAGCTGGCTCAACTGCAGTCCTTTGGCAAAATGTTTTAAAACCAATAAAAAGATATAATTCACAGGACAAAGACATAAATACATTATTAACTGCAGCAAACAGAAATTCTCCAACAACAAACCAGCAACTTTTTAGGCTTTATAGAAGGTTGTTTTGAGTGTTGCGTCAAAGTTTTACAAGCTGCTTTTCAGGCTCCAAGTGTTGGTGTTTTCCAGCGACCTGTGGCGTTTTTTCCAGCCGCTTTTTAGGCACTAAATGTTGGTGTTTTTAAGCGACACATATTTTTTCTGGCATTTTTTTGGGCAGCAAAGACGGTTGTTTTTTAGCGATGCATCAATGTTTTACAAATAGCAATTTAGGCACCAATCATGGATCTGTTTACGTGACCTGTGGCAGCTATTTCGGCATTGAAGGTAGTTGTTTTTTAGTGATGTGTCAATGTTTTACAAGCTGCTTTTAAGGCACCAAACGGTGGTGTTTTTAAGTGAGACATATTTTTTGCAGTGGCTTTGAAGGCTCCAAAGATTGTTGTTTTTTTTAGCAACCCATCAGTGTTTTACGAATAACATTTCCGGCACCAAATGTGGGTGTGTTTACGTGACCTGTAGCTTTTTTTCAGACGCTTTTTAGGCACCAAAAATTATTGTTTTTTAGCGACCCATCATTTTTCCACCCAGGGTAGTGCCTTGATAAAGCAAGTATTTTAAGCCAATGCCAACAATTTCTTTTTTGGCACTTGGGTTGGTGTGACTCACACTTCCTGAGGATATCATTATCTCTGAAGTCCATCCAGAAGAAATGTCCACTTGGAAATCAGAGAAAAAAGATGTTGCAGAAGGTTCCCTGAGAGTCAGCATGTGTTTAAGTTTTCTTAAGTATCAGAGTAATCCAGTGATATTTGTCTGAGCATCCACTGCAAACTGCAGCTCTCTGCACACCTCAGGACGCACACTGATGAGACTTTAACTTGATTAAAACAATCTATTTCCTGTGATACCTGTCGGTACTACAGAGTACAATAAAAGTGTTGCAGTAGTACTGCAGTAGTCTGTATCTGCGGTGACAAGAGGCCCCTGTTTGGTCATTACTTTTTATTTCTTGTTTCCACTGCTTTATGACCTGCTGTCTGTTGCTACGGAGATACCAAGTGTCTCTGTAACCACGGAAACAACAGGAGACACTGCACAGCAGCGAATATTATCGGCTGAGAATGTTTACTGTGCTGCTGTGTGTGTTTGTGTCAGGTGGTCACTGTTGGATGATTATTAATGTTTATTAACGAGTGTGTGAACATGAGAAATGCGTGTGTGTGGTGGAGTTCAGAGGTCTGAGAGTCCGACTCAACTAACTGTTGTTCAGAGACAAAACTCCTCTGTGTCCTGCTGATTAATCAATTATTCATCCTTCTTTAAGTGCAGCAGTTGAATCCCTGCATTTATAAACCCGTCTAGACGCCTTAAATCTGTTCAGTTTAGCACATTATCAGCTTTTATGGGCCCAAACAAAACCCTTGAGGAGTTTTCCATCATTGAAGAAACCTCCTTTTAGCTGCACATATTTGTCAAGTTGAACTCGTGTCGCTGTAACGTCACTTTGACTCCACAGTTTACTACTTTTCTATAAACAGATTGTAATGATGAGAAGCAGCCATAAAGCCGAGCGCTCTGTGTTAAAGTGAGAATTAAAGCAGCTCAACTCCAGCTGCAGTTTGTGTGTTAATGTCAAGATAACGAGCAAAAAGCTTCAGCAAATGGGAAAAAAAAAAAAACACGAATCCCCCTCGAACCCAACGCTGTTGCCAAGAGACACCGTTGCCAAAACTTAGCTCATTGGCTGGACCGGATGGTGTTGCCTGGCAACCGCTGCTTAGTGAGCACTCTACCAGGAAGCGCTGACAAAAAAGTTGGAGGTCCACACACACACACACACACACACACACACACACACACACACACGCACAGCTGTCAGAGTTGCGGTTGATGTTTTATTGGTTCAGACTGCAGCATCTTCACTCCCACTCCTCCTGTCGTCTCCTGAACTCTGATCAGTTTCCTGCAGCGGTCTGGACCCCAGACAGTTAATGTTCCCCGCTGCTGCTCTGAGTTTTCACCACAGGAAATCTCAGCAAGAGGAAAAAACTTCCAGCTGCTCTTTTACAGCTCCTCTGTGGAGTGTTGCTGTCTGAAAACGGTGAATTTCAACTCTTCATCGTGTTTGTTGGGGATATTAATTACTGACCGCTGCAGAAACACACACACACACTCTTCACACACGGTCACACACACTCTCTCAGTGTACTCACTCATGACAGTCGCCGTCCTGGTGCAGTTGTAGAGGATGGCCAGCTCTCCGAACACTTTGCCCGGCCCCATCGTGCACAGCTTCATCCCTTCTTTAGTCACCTCCACCTTCCCCTCTGAGCAGAGACACACACACAGAGAAAACCTTTTATTCAAACAGGAAATCAACGAGCTGTTTGTCAGGTGTCTGTGGAACTTTATGAAAGTCAGCACATTAAGAACAAAGAAGGCGATGATGATTTTCAGCACAACCATCTCTAGGGTTTACAGAGGATGGTCCCAAAAAGAGAAAATATCCAGTGAGCCAAAATGCCTTGTTGATGCCAGAGGTCAGAGGAGAATGGCCAGACTGGTTCAAGATGATAGAAAGGCAACAGGAAGTCAAATAAGCACTGGTTCCAACCAAGGTGTGCAGAAGAGCATCTCTGAAGCAACAACACCTTGTCCAACCTTGAAGCAGATGGGCTACAGCAGCAGAAGACCACACCAGGTGCCACTCCTGTCAGCTAACAACAGGAAACTGAGGCTACAATTCACACGGGTTTTCTCACCAAAACTGGACAATAGAAGATTGGAAAAACCACATTCAGATGGAAGCATGGATCCATCCTGCCTTGTATCAACGCTTCAGGCTGCTGCTGGTGGTGTAATGGTGTGGGGGAGATTTTCTTAGTACCAACTGAGCATGGTTTAAACACCACAGCCTACCTGAGTATTGTTGCTGAGCGTGTCCATCCCTTTATGACCACAGTGTACCCATCTTCTGATGGCTACTTCCAGCAGGATAACGCACCATGTCACAAAGCTCACATCATCTCAAACATGACAGTGAGTTCACTGTACTCCAATGGCCTCCACAGTCACCAGATCTCACTCTCAATGTGATGTCATCATGTCAATATGGACCAAAATCTCTGAGGAATGTTTCCAGCACCTTGTTGAATCTGTGACACCAAGAATTACAAAGGGGGTCCAACCTGGTACTAGCAAGGTGTATCTAATAAAGTGGCTGCTGAGTGTGTGAGCTTTTCGAGATAAATTTTAAGTTAAAAACATAACAATAATAAAAAAGGAAAAAAGACAGAATATTTTCATATATTGTAAAGTGAAAAGTTAAAAAGGTCTAAATCACCATCTACAGACACAGAATAACTTTGTGGTTCCAAACTGGTTCATGTTTTATGTGTGTGTCCCCACACACTCCGCTACACTAACGGCCCGTCCCAATACCCCCTCTTAGCCCTACCCCTGATTTGCGCGTCCCAGCGAGGGGTAGTGGTGTCCCAATTCCTTTTTGCGTGTAGGGGTAGGGGGCATAACGAGGGGTAGTGGGTATGAAACTAGCCCTTCGGAGCGAGGGATTTCAGATGCTGACTTTCCAGTAAGGGGTAGACGTCGCCATGGGCTACCACTGAGCAAGAGACGGGGAACTTTTTTTTTATTGCTATTCACGATGTCTAGATCGGAGTTGACAGAAAGCTAGCCAGCTAGCTAACGTCACTGTTGTCAGGTTGCTTGTTAGCGAGCTAGCTAGCTCGCACTATCTGGCATCTGTCATCTGTCCTGTTCTGAAAAATGGTTGGATTTTTCACATTACGATAACACGCCAGCTAGTATAACTATGCTGCCTCGTAATGTTAGCTGGTTAGATACATAGCTAGCTAGCAGAAGTCCCCTGTCATACATAACTTATTACTCTAATGGTACGTTAGTAGCAAGCATAATAGTAGCTAAGGTTACTGTTACGTTGTAGATGCCGGTTGGAAATGTAGATGGCTTGCGGCTTCCTGTTTAAAATAGTTACGCATGCGTGAACATAACCGACGCGGTGACGTAGTGAGTGGTGTCCCAATTCCTTTTTGCGCGTAGGGGTAGGGGGCATAACGAGGGGTAGTGGGTATAAAACTAGCCCTTCTGAGCTAGTGATTTCAGATGCTGACTTGCCAGCGAGGGGTAGACGTCGCCATGGCTACCACCAAGCAAAAGACAGGGAAATTTTTTTTTATTGCTAATTATGATGTCTACATTGGAGTTGACAGAAAGCTAGCCAGCTAGCTAACGTTACTGTCGTCAGGTTGCTTGTTAGCTAGCTAGCTCGCACTGTCTGGGGTCTGTCATCTGTCCTGTTCTGCAAAATTGTCGGATTTTTCACTTTACGATAACACGCCAGCTAGTATAACTATGCTGCCTCGTAATGTTAGCTGGTTAGCTAGCCAGCAGAAGTCCCCTGTCATACATATCTTATTACTCTAGTGGTACGTTAGTAGCAAGCATAATAGTAGTTAACGTTACCGTTACGTTGTAGATGGCTCGCAGCTTCCTGTTTAAAATAGTTACGTATGCATGAACGTAACCAACGCGGTGATGTAGTGAGTGGTGTCCCAATTCCTTTTTGCGTGTAGGGGTAGGGGGCATAACGAGGGGTAGTGGGTATGAAACTAGCCCTTCGGAGCGAGGGATTTCAGATGCTGACTTGCCAGTGAGGGGTAGACGTCGCCATGGCTACCACCAAGCAAGAGACGGGGATGATGTCTACATTGGAGTTGACAGAAAGCTAGCCAGCTAGCTAACGTTACTGTCGTCAGGTTGCTTGTTAGCTAGCTAGTGGGGGGGTATTGGGGTTGGGACTAAAATGATGAGTGGATCTGATCTGATGAGCCGCGCTGAAACAGCTGACGTGGCTCCTGTACATGATACAGCTGAGTAATCCTCAAAACAAATGAGGACGCTCTAATGTTTGCTGTCGACATCCTCACTGCTGATTTATCAAAATCATTTTATTTAAATCTGTCGATACGTTTTCATGCTTGTATGATTAAAAACTGGAGATATTAATCATAATAAATGACAAATCGTGTGTAAAGAATTGTGGGTACTTGATGCTCGCTGAGGACACACACACGTATCCTTGACAGGATTCAAGACTCATCTATAGAGGTGTTTATTTTTGTCTTTTATGTTTGACACCATGTTACATATGCTGTACACTCATGTATCATTACAGCCATTATTGCTTATTATTGTTATCATTGCTGAAATATTATGGAGAACAGATGACCGTGAACACCGGAGGATAAATGTTTCATCTTCAGCTGATTCAAATGAACTGTTTGTAATTTGTAGTGTAGAAATATTAAATCATCAGCAGGAGCAAATTCAGCTGCTTCACGTCTGCTTTGATTCAGCAATCAGATTAATCAACATACGTGTGTGTGTGTGTGTGTGTGTGTGTGTGTGTGTGTGTGTGTGTGTGTGTGTGTGTGTGTGATAGGAACAAATGTGTTTTGTTCTGCTGCTGCGACACATTGGACACAAAATAAATCCCTCAGATGTGCTTTCATTTATTTTATTTGAGTGTTGGATTACATTCAACACACACACACACACACACACAGGCAGGGGAAATGACAGGTGGCCAGTGTGTGTGTGTGTGTGTGTGTGTGTGTGTGAAGGGAAATGAGGGGTTTTGCATATCAAAGATTGTCTGCTTTCATTAGTCCGGAGGAGAAACACACAGAGAGCTGAATCTTTGGCTCAGTATATGTTCAGCTCTCTGTGAAGTTGTTTGCTACATTAATTTAAATTAATACAGCTCATTTATCACTAAAATATACTCTGATAATTCAACAGGAGCAGATTGTTATCTTAAAAAGTGATTTTACAGACTGTAAAGTGATACATAATCACAGCTGTGGTGGTCGAATAAAGGGTGGATAAACTCTTTGTCACACCTGGAGTCGTCTCCTTTGGTCTGAATCAGGGACTCATGTTGTTCCAAAGTTGTATAATTGCCTAGAGTTGGTTCGTGTTCTCACGGCAGCATTTACAAGAGGACCAGATCAAATGCCTTGTGTGAGAAAGCTGCTCTTGATTGGTCAGAATTTCCATGTGGGAAAAATCCAGGAAGTAAAGCAAACGTTGAAGAAGAGTACACTTGCAAGATAAATGTGACACTTTCTAATGTCACAATGGAGGGACAACTACGCAGGTTGATTTTAGGCAGGCGTGTGTGTGTGTGTGTGTGTGTGTGTGTGTGTATACAGCGTCTCTGTCCACAGTGCTGAGGTCCAGCAGGTGGATATAAACACAAAGTCTAAACACCACAGTTAAAAGCTTGTAATCTGCTGTCACAAAGGTCTTTGATGCTTTCAGGTGGTAGATGATTCTTAATGAATAGCTGTTACTTAGTTTCTTTTGTACACGGAGAACAAAACGCTGCAGAGGTTCAACAGACTGAAAACTGAAAGAGACAAAGTTCCCTCTAACAGGAGAGAAGAATCTTTTCATGTATAAACATCACATGTTTTTGTTGCAGATGTTTGTGTTTGTGTGTTATCATTAAACTGTCTATTTCAATCACACTCAGACATTTCATTATTGTTTAGACGGATTCATACGTATTATCAAGACGCTGGAAATGTCACCGTGACTCATAGCAACACAAATGTTTCAGATGCACTTCATACACACAAGCATGTAAAGACTAAACAGAGACACAAGCAGAGACGGACGAACCACACCTGTGTGTTCTTTCAGTTAAATTATAAGAGATTTATTATCTCTTAAAATTTGACCGACAAATCAATACTGTTGTGAAAGGGTGCTTTTTCCAGCAGTGAAACATCTCCAAAATCAAAACTTTCCTTTCTTCAAACCACTTAAAAACCATCACAAATGCCTTGATCACCCCCCGACTGGAATATGGCAATGCATTATATCTGAGTGTCCCCAAATCTACCTTGTCACGCCTGCAGCTTGTCCAGAATGCTGCTGCAAGACTGATAACTGGCACAAGGATAAGAGACAGCATAACACCTGTGCTGGCATCCCTGCACTGGTTACCAGTCATTTACAGGATTGAATTCAAGGTTTTATTGTTTGTTTTTAAAGCTGTTAATGGCCTGGCTCCCCAATATATTTCTGAGCTCTTATGTCCCCTTTTAAATTCCAGAGCACTCAGATCTTCAAACCAGCAGCTTCTGGCTGTGCCTCGATTGAGGCTAAAGGGCAAAGGGGATCGTGCGGTCGCTGTGGCTGCACCCAAACTTTGGAACAGTCTACCCCTCTCCATTAAGGATTCCCCATCTGTGGACACTTTTAAGGCTAGACTTAAGAC